GGACAAGTTCAGTTTCATCACTTTTGCCTCTGGAGATAGTTCAGGCCTCAATTGATCTAGGACCCACTTTTTTGTCTTTCTGGCAGTCCAGAGTACACAAAGTACTTATTTATTTATTTATTTATTTATTGGACTTATATACCGCCCCATAGCGCTACAAGCACTCAAAGCCTCCTGGCACTGTACTTAAAATAAATAATTTTTTCTTCCTGGCTAAATGTTTTTACTGCCTAGCTTTCCTATTTGTACATAGTAATCGGGCATTCAGTAACATTGATGATCTTGACCTCGGTCTCCAGTGACACATCTTTGAACTTGATGATCTTTGCTAATTCCTTTATTGCTGCCATTCTGAGCCTCAGTCTTCTTCAGATTTCTTGGCTGCAGTCCCCATTTGTATTGATAAGATCATTGAACCAAGGTATACAACATCTTTTACTATTTCAGTTTCTTCATTGTCAACATTAAAGTTGTGTAGTTCTGCAGTTGTGATTTTGGTCTTCTTAACATTCAGCTGCAGTCTTGCTTTGCCACTTATTTCACTTTCATCTGAAGTAGTTTCAAGTCATTGTTCTTTCTGCTTTCGAGTTCTACAATATTCTTTTTGAGGTATGGCAACCAGAAATGTACAGAAGACAAAATATATGGTACTTAGTTATGTGCTGTCAAGTCAGAACTGATTTATAGCAACCCTAATAGGGCTTTCAAGGTAAGTATAGTGGACCCTCTACTTAAGGAATTAATCCGTATTGGAATGGTGGCTGCAAGTCGAAAAGTCTGTAGGCCGAATCTTCATTGACCTACAATGCATTGAAAACCGATTAATCCCATAACCAGCGGTTTTTATTCTATTTTTGTTCCATTTTGGTTTTTTTCTTGTCTGTAAGTCAGTTCTCCGGCTGCAAGTCGAATCTAAATTTTGCAGCCAGAGGAGTCTGTAACTCGAAAAGTCTGTAAGTCGAGCCGTCTGTAAGTCGAGGGTCCACTGTAACATATTTAAGGAGTTATTTTACAGGTTCCACACGCCCAATGAGTTTCCATGGCCAAGTGGGCTCTCCAGAGTCCTAGTCTGTCACTCTCTCAATTACACTACACTGGGCACCTAATATATTTGTACCATAGGTATATAAAGGTATTGTAATATTTGCTGTTTTATTTTTGATTCTTTTCCCAGCAATTCCCAAAATAGAATTTGACTTTGTTGTAGAAGTCCTTTACAGGGAGATGTGGCCTTTTACTATGTGAAAAACCTTATCTTCCTGTAGGAGCCCCCACATGTAGTAAGATCTCTAGGAGAGCGCCTTCTTTTGGGCCCCCACTTTCACAAGCAAGTGGACATTCAAGAAAGGGCTTTTCCTGTGGCTATCCCTAGACTATAGAACTACCTTTCTCAAGAGGTGCAGTTCATGCTTTTTTCCCACTTGCAGCCAAAAACATACCTTTTTAGAGACACTTTTGGGGGGTCAGTAGCTAACTGAGTTGGGGAGGTTTTGCAAAATCTGATTTATAGTTTTTAGATAATGTTTTAAAATATTTATATATTAACATTTTAACCTTTAACTGGTTGATTTGAATTAATTGGTGACCTTAAATTTTTTAGGTTCCCAAGGGGGAGAAAGGTAGGATAAAAAAAAATCAAATCAATACATAACAATAAGCTATGCACCACAAACCTAAGATCCCTGTCTTGGTCAGTTATCATTGTCTGAGATCTCATGTGGTATACACAAGAAACTGGGAATCATTTTGCCCAAATGGACCTTGCTTTATTCATACATAAGCTGAACCACATTTGTCATTTGTATGTGTTCTGGAAATTTGTGCGTTGATATCCTTTTTATATTTACTTTAATGCTGGGATATCTGTTTCTTCCCCACTCCCAACAGGCACTTCGGCTCACCCTTTGGTGTCATTCTCCACCTTGGCTACTGCGCTGCTCATCCCAAACTGCAAATGGTTTATGAGCTTTCTCTCCATTAAATATGTGGTTATTCATTTTAGTGTCTATAAATAAATAGTATCTTTACATTCATTTGTTCAGGATGTTCCTGCTTGTGTTGATCTTGCAGAATAAGAGGCATAAATGATGGTGCTCTTAAATCCTGTCACAACGTGGAGAGACTAATTTGTAAAACATGTCTCCTATTTTTAAAGTTTGCTCTGACCACCTGTGTGTTATAGAGAATATGTGGCTTAAGTGCTTGTGTTTTTCTCTGCTAGACAGACACTAAGAGGCTTCTTCTTTGTTGCTTTTAACAGATGGATGAGTTTTACAGTTCAGTACACTGATTAGTGATAGTCAGTAAAAGTACAAAAGTTTCTTTTGATTGCATTAGATAGATGTCTTATCTGTTCTCGAGATGACGTCTTCAGTTACAGTCACAATCAGATTAAGCAGAACAATCCTAAATAAGATATATGGGAAGGCAAAGTGCACTAGCTTGCATCAGACAGGGAAAATGGAGACCTCTTACTATTTTTCCTTTTCTAGCAGCTCTTCCAGACCTTGTTAAAATAGTATTTTCAGGGGACCATAATTCCTGGAACCCACCACCACCACCTATTGGTGGCCAAATCTATTGGCTATAGATTTCACTGGCATTGCCAACTGGCAGGTAGCCAATAAGTCACATTGAGCTTCCAGCCTGCCTCTTCTTAGCTAGCTTTCTTTTGCTCCATTGTTGTGCCAGATAGAAATGTAAAATGTGCAGCCTTCTTCTACTTTCTTGGGAGTGGATCCTGCAAAAAAGAAGAAGGAGACAGAGAATAAGCCTCGTCTCATATACACAGTCTAATGTGTAGGTAAAGTAGCCTGAAATTTCAGGGCATAAACAAGGAGAGGGACTCCTTTGATATCACAAAGGCAGGCTTTTGTGGTGTTACAAGAGATGGGCCTAATACAGAATAGCACGAGGGTGGCTGTGTCTGCGTGAGAAAGTGAGACAGACTGTGTAGTTCTACTGCACTACTTTTTAAATAAACATTGTGTACATATCACACATGTAAACACCTCTATGCTTAGTGAGTCGCATGTTCCATTTGGGAGTGAGGAAGAGATGGATATCCCAACATAAAAGCCATTTTAACCCTGCATACAATAACAGTGAAGTTTCCCACACACACACCCCCAAGCGTTGCTCACCCCTCCTGCTTAGAGAAACACAGCATTCCCTGAGCTGGCACCCTGAAACTTGACAGCTCTGTAGCCTATAAGGCCATGCTAGCAGGAGCATTCTGGGAGTAAAGATGTCTTTTTTAAAAAAATACTGATTCCTCCCCCACTGTTTTCAGGGGACAGGAGAGAAGCCTGATCGGGGTAGTGGTGGTGGTGTAAATGCCTCTAATCCACCTCTGCCCTGACAGTAGATTCCTAGGAGGTTTCTTTGGGTGTAATGGGCACCAGGAGAATGGATACACTTCTTCTGCAGGTAGAGTTCCACTTCTAGCCGGCAGAAGGACAGTTCTGCCCTATCTTAACCCTTATCCACTAGTGGATTTAGGTTAAATCACCACATCAATAGCTGTACAATGCACTGTGTAAATTTTTATAAGCAATAATACTAGCCAAAAGTCCTACTTTTAAAACATGCCTATTTAAGATGCAGCAAATAGAGTAATCGACAGCTGTTCCATTAATATTCCAGCTGTGAACTAGCACCGCATAGTTTTGGAACAGGAATCCACACACCAGAGATGAGGAAAGTTCCTTCTTGGGCCAGAGTTCCCAGAATCACCCAGCCAGCATGACTAGTGGCTCTGCTGGCTGGAGTGTTCTGGAAACTGTAATAACAAAAAAGTGGGGGAGCTTTTCCCATAATTGCCACCAACTATATTATCTCAGATATAGTCCTATTCTCAGCACCATGCTGGGATATTGGTCGTTCCTCTTGGTAACTCTCTTACACATCCTGTTGTTGAAATGAGTATGCAAGGTCTTATAGAGATATTGCAAAAATGAATGAGCAATTATAAAGTATTTTGCACCCTTCAAAGACTGCTGTAATAAAATAGTATTTGCATTATTTTTTGTAATGCATTCCTCAGTCTATTATACTCCTTTGTACTGAACTTTTCTCTAATATGAAATAGGTAAACAAAATTAAATGGTGCTGCAAACAAGAAAACTGATGTTTGCCTCGCTCGGGTATGTTAACCACTGGCTGTACCAGTAATTTTCCCAGCCATGGCTGAACTGGTATTGCATCATTTTGCAACAAACGTCCACGTGCCAGAGATGGGAAGAGTTCCTTCTTTGGCCGCAGCTCCCAGAATCACCAAACCTGCATGTTGTTTTCTGGTGTGCTCTAAAATAACCCACAATGCAAGCTTGAGCGTATTTGCTCAGAACAATGTTCCACTTCATTTAACAGAACTTACTTTCAAACACAGTATGTCTATGTTCAACTGAGCTAAAAGATAAATGTTACTTTATATTACTTTCAGAATGTTGGCAGAACAACATTGTGTGTTGCAGGTGTTGGCAGGGTGCAGGGGAAAACTCCTTTTAGTTTGGTGCTTACAACACATAGTGAGGAAACACATTGACTGTAATTGTAATGTTGTATACATGCTTACGTGGAAGTAAATCTCATTGTCCTCATTGGTGCTTATTGTATATATATAATGGTGGGATATATATATCCCACCATTTGGGGGCTAGAGCCATATGTATGATTAGCACCTTATACAGAAAGGAAATAAAAACAATACTATATGCTACTGTATACCAAGTCAGAGTGGAGAGCAATGTAGCTTTGTATTATACTGGCAGTGGCTTTCCAAGATTTGAAGCAGGAACTCTGTCTGGAGATACCAAAAACTTAACTTAGGAGCTTTGGCATACAAATATATGCTCTATTCTACTTAACCAGAGACCTTCCAAAATTCTCTTTCTGTCAGAGCAAATACTGTACAAGGAATGTATCAACCCCTCCCTTTTACCTTCTTGCAAAATAGAATTTTCTCTTTGTTTGCTCTGTAGGTATTTTCTTATGCAACACCAGTGAGCAGGAAAAACAAATCCCCTGAATGAAAAGATAGCAGAGGTATAGTGGGGGTGGGAAAGTGGTTGGAGTCAGCCCTTTGTTTCTTCTGCAACATGTCCTTGTTTACTTATTTAATAATTTTCTTTTATATACTGTTCTGTCCAAGAACATATCATAATTTCAAAAAACATTAAGTAAAGGTAAAAGTTCCCCTTGACATTTAGTCCAGTCGTGTCCGACTCTAGGGCGCGGTGCTCATCCCCGTTTCCAAGCCATAGAGCCAGTGTTTGTCCGTAGACAGTTTCTATGGCCACATGGCCAGCACAACTAGACACGGAACGCTGTTACCTTCGCACTGAGGTGGTACCTATTTATCTACTCTCAATTGCATGCTTTTGAACTGCTAGGTTGGCAGAAGCTGGGAGAAGCGGCAGGAGGTCACTGTCATGTGGATTCGATCTTACAACTGCAGGTCTTCTGACCTTGCAGCACAGAGGCTTCTGCGGTTTAACCCGCAGCGCCACCACGTCCCTTAAAAACATTAAAACATACAACAAATGTAACAATTTAAAATAGCCAAAATAATTCACATTAAGTGGTGAAAACACAGAAATAAATAAATTTATGATATTTATATACTATGATATTTAGTGTTCATATACTAAGTTACTATATTTTCCATAAAAATAATAATTATCTTTTTTTCCTCTGTTTCGTTCAGAAAATTGAGCCGGATGTAGCAGAGTTTCTTCAAGAGCTACGTAAAAGAGTGATGATCGGTGTGGTGGGTGGTTCAGACTACTCTAAGATAGCTGAGCAATTGGGAGAAGGTGATGAAGGTGAGCAACTCATATCTCTTTTTCTCTAGGACCACCTGTGGCACAGTGGTTAAACTGCGGTACTGCATTTAAACCTCTGCTTCAATCCCAATGGAATCAGCTAGCCAGCTCAGGGTTGACTCAGCCTTCCATCCTTCTTAGGTTAGTAAAATTAGCACCCAACTCACTGGGGAGCAAAGTGTTATTTACATAACTATGTTGTAAATCACCCAGAGAGTGCTCCAAGCCCTTTGGGATGGTATGTAAGTCAAACAACAACAACTTGTTTGTTGAATGCATACTGGCTATACCCTGTTTCCTGAAAATAAGACCTAACCTGAAAATAAGCCCTAGTATGATATTTCAGGATGCTCGCAATATAAGCCCTCCCCCCCCAAATAAGCCCCAGTTAAATGAAACCTCGCCCTCCACCATTGTGCAGCAACCAGAAGAAAATGACATGATTGTATTTGAATCAATGTAGATTTAAAAAATTAATGTACACGAAAAATAATTAAAACACCCCTAATGCATTTTTGGAGTGTACAATTCCCTAATGCTGTTTCATTTCATACTGCTGGTATGGAAATTGCAACTCTGAATGCTCTTCCACCTTGACAGCATCTATGTTCCCATGGGGAAAAAAAAGTATGGGGATTTTTTTAAATCTAGCCTTCACTTCGGAGTGCCATATCTGGAGAGTTTTGTTTCAAACAGAGCATAGCTACTGTGGCCACACCTGCTGGAATTTGTAATTTAAGAAAAAACAACATTTCCCATTACTGCCACCAACTATCTATAACCATGGATGCAGTGATAGTCAGGGCACCAATCTGGGATGTTAATTGCTGCTCTTGGCAACTCCCTTACACACATGCTTCTTCCTGTAGCCATGGGATTCTGGGAAATATAAGTCTTTAAAACTTTTCCAAGCTCTGGCACAGAAATATTCTGACACACTGTTCAAGCCCCCCCCCCATGCTCTGAAGTGATACATTCTGTGAATTGCTGTGCCACTGATATTTCTTCATATTTGAATCAACTGAACAATAGGTCTGTCGAAGGCAATGCTACCCTTGCTAATGTAAAACAGTGTCACTGCTGGTCCCTAAATTCTGTATCTACAGTGTTCTAAATAACTCCTGAATCCTGATTTTTTTTCTTTGTGGCTTTGAAGAGTTGGGAAGTACAACTGATTCCAGCCTTCAGAAATGCATGAACTGGCCATTCAGCAATTCATGATACAGACAGATACCTGACCTCCCATCTTTTTAATTCTTTTAAAGGGAGGAATAGAAGTCTATACCATTTCTTTCATGCTCCCTTCTTTTGTGTCATTATCCATCCCCACTTTCATTTTGAGGTTTACAAGATAACCCATTGCCCTTTAAATCCATTCAGAGCTCCAAGGGATGAATTTAACTGGCCTACGCCATTCTGTCTATGCTGTAGGACATGGATTAGCGACCAGTAGCCAGTCAGTGGGCCATACCTGAACCCAGCCTGCCTTTTCCCAGACCGGTCCAGTCCTTTGTCAGACCAGATTAGGAACGTAAGGAATGAATCCTACAAAACAGGAAACTTTGCATCTTCATAGTGTGGTGTATGGATGAGCAGCAGGACTTAAAGAGAGGAAAATGATTCCAGCCTGTCAGATTAAAAGCAGTGCAAGAAAACCGTGTCCTACTTTCCACCCAGTAGCCAGTCCTCTCCTAGGCAGAGGTTGTCCTGGAGTCCTTGGCACTAATCTGGGACACCTTCTCATTTTCCAAGGGCAGGGCAGGAAATACCATGCCATTCTGCCAGGCATGGCATGTGTACTTGGCCACTTCTGGGGCCGTGTACTTGGCCACTTCTGGGGCAGGAATGGCCAAACTACTGCCCACAGGCCACATGCAGTCACCAGTGTGGTCCCCTGGGGTCACTCATCCTGTCTGACCTACAGTGGTCCTAACAGGGCTGGAGAGTGTTAATGTTTTATCCTTACAGTAAAGGGCATGAGCAGGGTGTTTTTCATTCGTATGCTTCTAGATAGCTCATTGAGCTCCTGGAACTCTTCTGAAGCCTGAGACCTTAGGAGTCCTGAGGTTCTTAATGCCAGATTTACATCTGCTTTTTTAAAAGTAATTGGGTTATTTTCTTGTCTTTGTATTCAGCTCCATAGCCATTTCCCAATAACAAATAAGCTATAGCATCAGGTTCTGAAGAAAGAACTAATAGCTCATGATTGAGATCATGAATTCTGAAGAAAGAATGAGAGAACTAATAGCTCATGATTGAGATCATGATATGCAGCCTTTGTGTGCTGGATTGCATCCCCCATCATCCTTCACCATTAGCTATGATGGTTAGGACTGATGAGATTTGCAGTTCCACATCTGGAGCACAGCTTGAAATGTTAATTGCAAGAAGAATCAATATAATGACATACAATGGCCCTCTATAACTGAGCAATATTAAGATGATGCTCTGGGGCATCTACTACCACTGCTTAGTTATAAACGACTTTGACATGTCATTACATTCATTCTTTTTAAAAGCAACTTCCCAAGTTCTGAGGGCTATGTGTTGTCTACCTTGAATTTACAAGAACATTAAGTTAACTGCTTATTCAGCCCTGGCCAGTTAGGTTAGGTGTCCCGTAACAGTGGCTGTAATGTTAGAAACATTTACCCGGCAGTAATCAAGATTAGGACTGCACTGTATGTATTACTGAGATGTATTTCCAAATGGGAATGAGGGAAGGTAAAAATAAGCATGCAGAGAGCTCAATTAGGCAAAATTTAACTTAGTGATACCTCTGCCTTAGAGTTGGACTTTCACTTACCAACTTGTAGATCTTCATATGTGGCAATGTCACTGCGGATATTTAAGAATATCACTGCAAGAATAGCCGCTCAAGAGGAGCAAAGAAGACAGAATAAAACTGCAAGGAGTCTCAGGATCCAGTTTACTCTTCTTTTTTGGTCCCTAAGAATCTTGCTGATGAACAGGGTCACATTAATATTTGTTTCTGAACCTAATTTCTCTCCCACCACTGCTTCCCCTCCACAATTCCCCTGTCCCCAAAAACCCATTCAACCCACAGTCATCGACAAGTTTGATTACGTCTTTGCGGAAAATGGCACCGTGCAATACAAGAATGGACAGCTAGTCTCAAAGCAGGTAGGCCTGGCCTCCTTGTGTCTTGCCACCAATGTCACTTATCACTGCCTTTCATTTCCCATCCTATTAAATCTTTCGTAGTGGTGGCATCCAAAGCCTCTCAACATATTTGGCATCATGAAATAATGGAACAGACCCTGATTAGCAGTTGCTTTTTTGGGGGGTCTATAACTCTCAGAATCTCCTGGCCCAACAGTTCCAAAAAAAGAGTCACATTTCAAAGCTGTGAAACCTCAAAGTGAAGTTGAAAGAATGATTTTGTAGTTGAAATATGCCTGCTGTACTTTTTGTGTCATCATCTTAAAGAACTTACAGAGAATTGGCAGCTGGGTGCAGTTTGAAGTAAATTGAACATTAGAGTAATAAACTTGCCTCAGAATATATAGGTTATATCAATGCAAGTTACTCATAAGGTTGTTATTGTAAATATCTAGTAATTCTGTCAGCTCTGGATGTCATTTTATTAATGTCTCAGAGAAATATGACATTTCACAAATACATAAGGCATTTTGCATCATACAGTTTAATGCCTTGATTTTTATTTTGAGGCTTCCTCATCTATTTTTAACTATTTATTAGGCTTCCGGTGCTACTACTTTTTTTTACCCTGTTCATTATAACAATATAACAAAGTCATATGCCCTGTGTTGACATTCATGACACAGATGGAGGGGGAGGCAAATTATACTTTTTTGACTTGACATGACATTTGACTTCTTTTAACAGGCCATCCAGAATCACCTTGGGGAGGAACTTTTGCAGGAACTGATCAACTTCTGCCTCAACTACATGGCACTTCTAAAGCTGCCCAAGAAACGGTAATGGTCCTTCCCTCTCTCAGGGCCCACAGTTTCTATTTTAACTACCTAGATGACTTGAACATGCGGATTAGAATTGCAGAATTGGAAGCAGGCGTATGAATTATCTAGTCCAATTTCCTGTTCTGATACATAAGCATAAAAACAAACAGAAACCCTACAGACTTTTTCCAAAACTTTCTACCATTTATGTAGGCTTGGGAAAGTTACCTCTTTTGGAGTAGCTCAAGCAGTGGCTGCGCTTGCCAGACAGTTTTAGAACTTGTAATCTAAAAATAAAGTTTTCCAAATTCTGGATTTCTATAGACACTTTATTTCATTTCTTAACAGCTTTTATAGTTACATAACACATTATGAAGAAGCCCTTTAGTCTTCCTTCCTGAAATTCAAACTCATTGTCCTAGACTCACTGGCCAGAATCCTGTTTGCAAATTGTTACACGTGCAATGGGTTTTAAAAAAATTGAAGCAGTCTTCTGCTTGTGTAGCAGATTTGTCAACTCCCCTTGTGCAGGATGTATGGAAATTGGAATTATATATATAACAAACCATTGTATTAATGGTTAGGAACAACCAGAGTATTGGACATTATAAAGGGTGACAGTCTCCCAAAGAATCCATGTTTCTTTGTTGTAGCAAAAACTACAGAGAATACTTTGCCCTGCCAATAATAAATTCATTGGTCTTTGTTCATCGACATTATTACTTAACTTACCCCAGTATCCACCTGTAAATTCAAAAATAACTATTCCCTTCTCCTTAGGCTGAACAATCACAATTAAAAAAACCAATTGAGTAGACCAGATAGGTGGGGTATAAAGCTCATTGTCCTAGACTAACTAGCCAGAATCCTGTTTGCAAATTGTTACACATGCAGTGGGTTTTAAAAAAATTGACGCAGTCTTCTGATTGTGTAGCAGTTAATAAATAAATAACTAAATAAAATAAACCTTCTGATATCTGAGGGGAGGGAGCTAGATACAGAAACCATATTTTAGTGCCCTTTTGGCTTCATCCAGCAGGGTAGAGGTTGGGGCCTAAGTGACCTTTCCCTTTCCTCCTTCCTTCCTTTCTTTCCTTCTGCCTCATTCCAGTGGGAAAGAAATGAAGTACACAAGCTTCAGGGCAAGCATAGTTCTTCCTCTGTTCCAGCACACCATCAGCCTATCCAGAGGATGCTACCTTTTTGTCCTGTCTGGAGAAGTTCCAGCCACAGCCTTTTCAGACCCCTTTTCAGCACCAGGTCTCTCTGTCCAGGGATGGACCTCCCTACCCTGCAAAAGTAAACAACCCTACAACTTCCTAGGATGCTCTCCCAGGGACCATAGGATTGCAGCCTAAATAGCTGGTGTGTATTGGATGAGATAACAGTTTAGTGTATGGAGCTGATTTTAATTTGTCTGGATGGATGTAGTTGGGGGTGGGGTGCTACATTCCTCCCCACAGGCCTCACCTTCTAACATACAGTTATTAGTCACCTGGCCAGTGCCAAGTGGACTTTCTTCACGTAATTTCTTAGCCAGAATTCTATCTTTGCTCCTTCCTCATTCTTGCATGATCACTAGTTACCATAGTGAGAAAAAAATGGTATGACCTCTGCAAATGACATGTTGTGCCCACTGTGCCTCCCAGTCAAAACTATAAAAATGTTGACTGGTATTACGTATATAACAGATACAAGTTTGAACCAAAACCCTAAGTATCTGTTAAATATCAGCACAGTATGTATGCTGTTCCTAATATTGCTATTTTTGTAGCTCTGAGGGTGTTATTTCTGAGATCTGCAATTGCTTATAGTACTGTGAGAAATATCTTGATATTGTTCCCAAAGCCCCAATAACTACGGGGACCATTGAATTGTGTTTCGTCCACAAGTGAGATGTTTCAATTGCTAGGTCTCTCTATTTTGTTAGTTTTTCCAATTCTTTATTTTCAATTCTGCCATCTCCCCAGAATTGCGATGTGAATGATCCAGACATTTCTTTGTTCTATTATTACTATGTGTGGTGTGTTATGTTCAAGGTGTCCATTTGGATCTGAATATCCCACAAGGTCATTTTCTGACACCTTCTCTAACCTGATTTTCCCATGAGTTCTTGGAGGCTGGCAAGCTGTATTTTTTGCATAATGACCAGTGCACTAACTTTGCCACTTTATCATGTCTAATTTTGTAATCTGTTTGTGCAGTCTTTGGACATTCACAGTTAAGATGTGACACAGTTTCATCTTTTTCTTGGCAGAGTTGACATTTGCTGCTAGCACTAATTCCTTGAATCTTAGCTTTCATCACATAGGTTTGGTGTGCTTGTTCTTTTGCAGCAAAAATCAAGCCTTCGGTTCCTTTCTTAATGGTCCCCAGCTTTAGCCATGTTCATATTGAATCATCATCATTTTCCTTATGAACTAACAAAAATACACGGAAATAATATCTGGTTTCCTTTAGTGGGTGATTCTGATTCTGTACTTTGGAAACATTTAGAGGAAAAAATACTTCATTGATACCCAGGATGGATGAGAAATTGGTATAAAACCTGAAAAATTCCTCTCAGAAAGCCTTAAAATGATTACTGAAAAAGTGATATATGAAAATAATTAGGTATTACATGTTACCCCTAAGCAACTCAATTTAGGTAAAATGAGTAACTTAGATACTAATTAGTTCACTTAAAAAGTGATCTTGTAGCTATTACTCATTTTCTATAAATAATTTGTTACAGTATAGCTATTGCTTATAAATAGTTATTTTCAAGCTCTGAAAGAGGCAGCACTCTTTTGGACGGTAACTTGACCCAGTATCAGGATTCTAACTATGCCAATGGTAAAAGTACAGAAAGTTTTGGATCTTGAAGAGCTAAGATGGAACAACTGAAAATTGTTGGGGATTTCAGAAAAGCCGTGCATCCCACTGCATTGAATAACATAAGGCCCTCTTTTTATTTATTAAATATTCCATTGTTAGTTTTACCTTGGGTTATATCATAGTTGGGAGACTCTACCTCACTTTATGTTAAAGAAATAATGTGTCAGCATTGTAACACAATTGTCCTGTTTTACATCCACACTTTTTCCTTTGCCTCTTCCTTTTGCTAAACACAAAGGGGGACCTTCATAGAATTCCGCAATGGAATGTTGAACATCTCTCCTATTGGCCGAAGCTGCTCCCAAGAGGAACGGATAGAGTTTTCTGAATTGGACAAGGTAAATAAAAAACATTAGGCCCAAATGGCCAGCTTATATCCACAAAGATAATTTCTTATATTATGAAATAAATGTTATGGAATACTATTCACATCCTAAAGTAATTTACATGTCTAGATAGATACAGGAAGTATTATTTCTGGGATACCTTGCCTTGAAGCTGGAATCAAACGGAAGATTAATCTGAAAGTGTTTTGAGAATATATAAAATGTCCATGTTCTTGGGGGAAAATGGTATCTCTGACAAGAACAGAAATGATCTTCTTCCTTTGTCTTGTTTTCTATTTTCTGCTCTGCAGAAGGAGAGGATTCGAGAGAAGTTTGTAGCTGCCCTGCAAAGGGAGTTTGCTGGCAAGGGCCTGCGATTTTCCAGAGGTGAAAATAAGAATATTCTTTCAGCCATTCTGATTGTTTGGCACATTTTCTTTTGGGGAGAAGGTCTTGGAAAAGCAGAGTACCTAGCACTGTCTTTCTTTTCAGTGCACATAACTGTTTAGCTTGCTAAATTTTAAAAAAAGCTTCCAGTGACAAATCTGTTCTGAAATGAACCTGTTTTCCATATCATTCTTATACTCTAAAACATTTTCAGACCTAGCTCTGTTAAATTCAGTGGAGCTTAATTCTAGGTGGAGGTACCAGTGTGGAGTAGTGGACAGTGTGATGGACTAGGACTCGTGGCACAGTGGCTAAACTGCAGTACTGCAGTCAAGCCTCTGCACACAACCTGAGTTCGAGCCCAGCAGGCTGAGGTAGCTTGTTCAGGGCTGACTCAGCTTTCTATCCTTCAAAGGTTAGTAAAACGATTACCGAACTTACTGGAGGACAAGTTGTTGTTTGCATAGTTATGTTGTAAACCATGCAGAGAGTGTTCCAAACACTATGGGACAGTATATAAGTTGAAACAACAACAACAACCTGAGTTTGCATCTCTACTCAGCCATGGAAACTCACTGGGAGGGTGGCATTGGTAAAGCCACTTCTTACATATCTCAGTTACTTTGAAACTAGGTCTGATGCTACTTAAGAACACATAGCACACAAACACAGTTCCAGATAGATATACCAAGGATTGCTGTTTTAGTTAAGAGATATTCTGTCTTTTTTGAAGACTAGCTAATACCAAGACATAATCACTGGCCTATAGTTCTTTGACAGACCTCTCACTCCTGTACTTGAGCAGCCATGCATTGCGTTGAAAGCAGTTCTAGTATTGTTTGTAAATTAGCCATCCATGTACTCTGCACCGACCCGTAGTGCATGTGCTCCTCCATCTCCAATGCTGTGACCTCCATGGGTTGAAGACACATCCATACTAAGGGCAAGACAGCTGTGCTAGTGTGGGCTCTCCCATGCGGTTGGAAGGTCTCGGTTCCTCACATTCGTGCAATGTGACTAACAATGAATCGAGTTTTTGCAGAGCCCGTAGTTCCCAGAGTCCCCAGCCAACACAGCCAGCAGCCATGTTGGCCTGGGATTCTTGGAGCTGGAGTCCAAAAAGGTAACTAACTGTTCATTGCTTTGAGCTATTGTCACAGCCAAGAAGAAAGGGACTGATTATTTCTTACTATGCTGCTGGAGGGAGCATGTTAGATTAATTGATCTGGAATGCAGGGGCTGGACTGCTAGAATTGCAACAGTTGAGGGCCACTGACAAAACTATTCTCTGGCCAGTAATCAATTGTAGGACTGAGTTCCGCATGTTTGAAATGACTCTTGCCATTTTATATTATCATCACAGTTAAAAAGGATTCCTTTCCCTGCCTAGCTGTACGTACTTGTCACCCAGAGTAGATCTTTGGTCTAGATGGGCGGGGTAGAAGTCCAATAAAATAAATAAATTAGAGGGCCAGAAGGTGTGGAAATAAACACTCTACTCACTGCTGCCGCAGCCTTGGCAATGAGGCTTTTAGAGGCACCCTCCCCTCACATGTTTCTCTAGGAAGACGTCGGTCTCGTGTGTACCCTGGCCAACTGTTCCTTGTTTGTGCCTTCGGCTGATGGGGCCTGGCTGACGCCATTCGGTCATGTCACCATAGAAACAGCAGCGATGGAATTAATGTGTCGTAGCACCAAGCAAGCAGTAGTGGTGCATTATCCTCTGTTGTGTAATGATTTGTTCTGCTCCATTTTAGGCTTCACCCTGCACATCTCTCTTCAGCCTTTTCTCCCTTCTTTCTCCCTCTCCCCACACCCACCTTAGGTGGCATGATTAGCTTTGATGTCTTCCCAGAGGGCTGGGATAAACGTTACTGCCTCGACATCCTTGAGGATGAAAGATTTGATACTATACATTTCTTTGGGAATGAAACGAGCCCTGTAAGTATATCCTTCTGAATCCCCTGCCAGGAAACCAAGCTCTGTTTGAGGCTGAGAAGGGCAGCATTGCTCTTTTTCATTTCTAAGCCGACAGGCTTGTCCTGGCAGCTCAAAGCTGATCCCTCTTTTCACTGTCACTCAAGGGGTATTTTAGCTGTGATGTTTGAATGTCATGGATATGTTATAAAAGATATTGGTGTCTCTAGGACCTCAGCTATCTCTTTTCAGACACAATGCCCCTGCAAATGTCACATAACGAGATGCAAGCCCTCAGCCATCCACTCGTGTGAGGATTGAAAGAGGAGAAGGAATAGGGATGAGGCTTGGATCATGAGAGTGATAGCCCTCAAACCAGAGGAGTCAGAGCAGCCCTCTCTACCTCCATGCCATTCCTGTGCCACTTCTTCTTTGAGCCCCATGGTGCAGTGGTTAAACTGCAGTACTGCAGCCAAACCCCTGCTCATGACGTGAGTTTGGTACCACCGGATTCAGGTAGCTGGCTCAAGGATGACTCAGCCTTCCATTCTTCCGAGGTCAGTAAAATGAGTATCCAGCTCATTGGGGGGCAAATAGTTGTTTGCATAATTATGTTGTAAACCACTCAGAGTACTCTAGCACTATGGGGTGGGTAAGTAGAAACAACAATAACAGTAAGAAAAGTGCCCTGCTGTACCATGTGGTCTCAAGGATTCTCTGTGACTCACGAAGGTACATGAGAAAGAGTTCTGAGGGAGGCTGCCTCCACACACTCTCTTGGATGTCAGAGCACAACATCCCATTCACCTTCATGAGTTGCGGGGAATTCTTGCAACTCTTACAGTGCAGCAGAGTGCTTTTCTTTCTATTTGGAGAAGAAGCGGTTTGGAGCAGAAGCAGCGCATGAAGGTAGAGAGGGCTGCTGTAACTCAGTCTTTTCTTATTGACAGGGGAGAGCTGAAGAAGGCTTCCAGTGAGATGTTTGGAGAAGAAGCAGTTTGGAGACGAAGCGGTGCATGGAGGTAGAGAGGGCTGCTCTAACTCGTCTTTTCTTATTGACGGGAGAGCTGAAGAAGGCTTCCAGTGAGATGGCTTTCATTGTTCCCTCTTACATGTTGGTACCTCATGGAAGCAAGTCTAGCCTAACACTGCCCTCTTCTGGTGACTAGGAGAAAAACCCAGCATCAGGGATGGGGGAGCTACAGTTCTGTGTTTGTTGGATAAGGGCACACCTTCCTTTCAGCATCTGGAAAGACGGCCACCTATACACAAGAAGCTTCTTGCATGTGTTTTGCATCACCCTGGGAGCAAAGGAAAAAGAAAATGAAAGAGGCCACCTTAGTCTCCAGAGGCACATAATGAGACTCACAATGTAAACTAGCCTTTGCCAAATTTGCATCCTTCTATGTTGTGGGGCCACAGCTCCTGTCATCCCCAACCACCATGCCCAATTATAAGGGATTAGTCCAACAGCTTCTAGGAACCTCAGCTTGGCAAATACTGCTGGAGAGAAGAGTCAAGCGGAGCACTTGCATTTTCTAGAAAAAGCCTTTTCTGGCCTGAAACAGGGGAGCCCTAAAGATGTGTCATTCAAATTTGTTTGACTCCAACTTTCAGAATCCCCCAAGACCTCCCCAGGCAGAATTCTGGAAATTCCAGGCCACAGACCCATACCTAAAGACAGCTACATTTGACTTAGATGGTCTCGGCCCTCATCTTGGAAGCTACATGGCCTATCTCCGGCCTACTTCCTGTGGATAAAGTAAGAAAAAACATGAAGCTGCTGGCAATGGGCCCATTAGCCTCTGTAAAGGGCACCTCCTGAAGAACTGCAGTGACTGGAAATCACTGTGGGAGCTTCCTTGTTTGTACATTAATAGAAATTATTCTGTGGCTAAGCCATGCAGTCTTTGAGGCACACCCTGGTCTGGGTGAGTGAAATGTAGGTATCCTTTAACTGTAGGGGCCTTTAACTCCCAGAATTCTGCCGGGGGAATTCTTGGAGAATTATGGGAGTTGGAGTCAAAAAAATCTGAACAATACATCCCTAGTTGGGATTACCATTTTTTGAGGGTTTTAGGGACTTGGAGGGGGTCAAGGGGCCTCTGAGGGAGCCATATAATGTCTGTGCCCTACAGTAAATAGTATAATTCTTCTTATCATTAGGGTGGGAATGATTATGAAATCTACGATGACCCCCGCACAGTAGGACACAGCATCCAGTCTCCTCAGGACACAGTCCAGAGATGTCGAGAGATCTTCTTTCCAGAGACAGTGAATGAATCTTGACACATGAACCCTTGGCTGCTGGTCTTCATCTCTTAAGGGAGACCATGGATTCACTTTGTGAGAGATCTTTCTGGACCCTTGCTGAAGCTCAAGGTCAAAATGCACTTTGGAAATGGAGCTGTCAAAACTGGGAGTGAGATAACAACCCTTCATCATCTCTTGCTGCTGGGGAGATGCATAACTCAATTCCCATGTCCTCATCCTTCCTGCCCCCAAAGTGAGATTAAGTTGTACTTTCAAGGAAAGAAAATGTGTTCTTGTTCTAGCAAAGGCCTTTGTGTGGAAGCTAATCATCATGATCTCCGTGCATTTGCCCAAATTAATCAATTTCTGAGATTAATGTCCAAGACACTATAAGTAGTATTGTAAAAGGACCAGGGCCTGAGGTGCTAAAGCACAGATTTGTCTAGTATTTTCATATTCTTCAACTATCAAAGTTGTCTAGAAATATTTTTTTAAGTTAATGTAGGAAAGAAAGAAGAACATACTCTTAAAAATAAACAAGGGACCCAGTCTGGCACTTTAAAATCCTGCTGAGAAATGACTAGCCACATCAGAGAATGCAGAAGGAATAGGGATTTGAGTGCACTGGCCTACAAGGGATGCTGGCATCCAAACCTGGAGGATGTGTTGGCCATACCTATGATTTCTCTCAGGCTAGCCTGTGCAAGGTACAACTCTGCTATACTTCTTAACTAGACTGGTCTGATCAAGAGTGGTGGATTTTCAAAAACTACATTTAGATATATCCGTAAGATATTTTTTGAGCAGAATTAGGATCATACTTTTGTAACGGAAAGAAATAGGGAACGAAAGATTAAAAAGAAAACCTGTACATGTAATAGCTCAATGGTATGGCTATTTGTGCTAAATTTAGAGCTCTGGTCATTACAGCTCCTGGGAGCTCTGAGATTAAAAAAAAATAAACACCAGGAGGGCCACAGTTGCACGCCCATAGCCTACACTCTTCTTTTCATTAAACTTAATGAAGACTAAATTATCTTTACATATTCAGAGGTAAGGTCTCCAAGAAAAACGGATATCAATAACGGAAGCAATTTTTTTAAAAATCCTGGATGCATAATACTGTATTGTTTTAAAAGACAACATTACCTATATTTTCTTTGTGAAGCATAAACAAACTGAAAAGATTTGTTTCTGCAACAGCAAAATGCCCTTAACGAGCAGAGGTAACATGAATGATGGTTAATTAGGTGTTTCTTCTATGTTATTGGCACTCATTAGATACTCTCTGTTGGATTATTATAAGTCAAATCTTTTTCTGTTCACATATTGAAGTGCTTTATGATGCATGGCTTCCATAGGCCAGAGTCCTAAAACCCAACATTTTGTAACTGGTGTGTGCGCCGCAAGCTTGGACCAACCTGACAGATGGGCAGAAAAATTACAAAAGCTGCTTGCGCAATTTTGCTTACATGCCGTAGGATTCTGGCCCTTTAAAAAATAGTTCCTGGTCCTCAAAATTGCAAGAAGAAAAATGTGGAATGTGGAAACGAATGCTCTGAAACAATCAGAAGTTATAGAACTGGACAGTAAGGCTCTTCAGTTGCCTTTCTATCTATCTATCCATCTATCTGCTTTGCATATGCTTCTCCCTCTGTCCCATCATCCTGCCCCAATCGTTTTTGTGAAAATTATTCAAATATAGTTTCTAACAAACAAATCTCCCATTGGAGAAAATTAGGTGCTCATTACCCTCACTGTGTACAAATTTGGACTCTCAGCTTGTCTCTAGTCACTTGCTTAAAAATCCTCCGATACAAAGACTTCATGGTTTCCCAAAGTGTGACCATATTAGTCAGTTGTAGGAAGAACAAAGGGTTGCATGGCATCTTAAAGACTTAACACCATATAGATGATGAGTTGGGCTGTATTCCACAAAAGCTTATGCCACACAAAATATGTTAATTTCAATGGTGCCATGAGATTCTTATTTAAGAATTTACCCTTAAGCAGTGCAGTAGCATCCAGATGCTTCCTGCCTATCTGTAGCCAGCATGTTTTTTAATTATTATGCAAGAGTATCTTAAAAGTCTTGCATCCTTGTCAAGTCTCCAACTCCTTCCATTTCATCCATCTTTTTTCTAAAAATCCTCTGACAATAGAACAGCTGCACAGAGTATTTTTTTTTCAATGATAACACTGAAAAGCACTTTCATCTGGAAGCACTTTTAGTCACCTTAACCCTGTATCTAGAAGCACCCCAAGAGGAAACTACTGATTATCACATGACTGGATATCTAAGATGGACCAAAGAGAAAAAAAATGTAAATTCATTTAATTAAACAGAAACTTATTTTGATTTCTCCGATCAGAAGTGTATTGGTAACCACAGGTGATTAGGTTTTGTTCACAGGCAGCTGTTATATAGTTACAGACTCTAAGTAATGTGTAATATTAAATTACAAAACAGCCTAATTTATCATGAATAAACAAATGAGATCTTACCACAGTGAGGCTTCTTTGCTTTGTCGTTCATTGTTGAACTTGCATGTGGAATGCTTCCAAAAAAATGAGGCAACAGGAAATAGTTGAAATAGAATTTATAAATGTAATTAGATAATTGTTTTGTGCTTGTGTGTTGCTTAATGATACAGTCCTCAATGATTAAGGGCTATGGGGCAGCTGAAGTTGCACTGAATTCAAACTCCTTTCTAAATATGATGGAAATAACTGAGGATTGTTCTTTGTTGTTGTTATTTAGTCGTGTCCGACTCTTCATGACCCCATGGTTCAAATTCATGTTGGTAGCTTCGGTGACACTGTCCAACCATCTCATCCTCTGTCATCCCCTTCTCCTCTTGCCTTCACACTTTCCCATCATCAGGGTCTTTTCCAGGGAGATTTCTCTTCTCACAAGATGGCGAAGTATTGAAGTCTCAGCTTCAGGATCTGTCCTTCCAGTGAGCACTCAGGGTTGATTTCCTTCAGAATGGATAGGTTTCATCTCCTTGCAGTCCAGAGGACTCTCAAGAGCCTCCTCCAGCACCATGCTCTTACCATGACCTAACATCATACTGGCATTGTGGCTCTCCCTGGGCTGGAGGAGATTTGGAGCGGGCTTAACTCAGCTTTTCCCACTCTGTTCCTTCTCTGCCCTTTTCTTTGACTCTTCTGCTGGCTGCTTTTAGCCAACACAGCAGATTAGCCAACAGATCCTTCTTCCGGTAGATCTCGATATCAGTCGGCACAAGGGGGTTCTGCCCATCCCAATCCACTACACCTGATGCGTCTTTGCATTAGGATTGCCCTATGAATCTGCCAGGATGCAAACAGGAAAGTATAAAGAGCTGTGCCTTTGATCAAAGCTGGTTGACATGCACTTTACTGCTTATTTGACCTACCATTCTGCTAAGAAAAGGCAGATGCAAAACTTTCTGCCTGCAAGCTGTTATTTAAATGCAACCAGGTACACTCTACTTACATTTAGAGACCATGATTCTCATTATCCTAGGTAGGTAGCCAGTGACCTTGGCGGTTTTGGATGATGGAAATAGTAATCTCCATCATAACTGGAGAACCATGTTGGGGGATGGCTAGTTTATCTATTATGGATGTCACTGGTACAGTTCTTAGCACCTGCACATTCAAGGCTGCAAACGGCACACTGGGGAAACAAAACTACACCTGTGACCTGAGAAAGCTGCTACTAATCAGCGTAACAGACCATATTGTGCTTAATGAATCAGCAGTCCAATTATGATGACAAGTAACTCCTTACACATTTTTGTAAAGGAAGACATTTGAATATGGCCTATCCACTAAGCCAATTTATCCTTTTCTCATGGCTAAGCCAAGAGCAATAAGATTCCCTTTTGCCAAGCTGTCTGACTTTCTTAGGTGTTTCTGTCTTTTTTGTAGCACCTCCTGTTGCAAAAACTAACCCCACAAAGGAAAAAGAAAGAGGGGAAAAAGGCAAAACAGAAAGGACTCCTGGGAAAATCACTTCAGTGTTTTATTGCCAATGTTACAAAGGTCAACGGGTGTCAGACAGGCAAGGAACACACAAAGAGTTGTAAAAACACAAACACTATAGGTAACAAGGCTATTTCAATAAGGATCAAAGCTTTCCCAGACAGAAGACACAGTTTTGTGGCACTTCCACTGGTATTGCACCTTCGAGGAGAGGGATGGAGGCTAGGAGATGCTGGTGTTTGATGTGAGCAGGAAGTCATTCTGGTCGTCACAGGAAGCAGGTCACACAAAGGGGACTAGATCACCCTGAGGACAGGGGACAATGGCTTCCTTCCAATACACTATTTGCTCATCCTTTAGATCTAGAGGGCAGCCTGGAAAACCTCCTCCTGTATTTATGCACAGTAACAATTACTACATCCTTTAAAACCTGACTGCCTTTATTTTTCCCTCCAGAGGTTCCTCTGTGGTCCCAAAGTACAGTTTGGTCCCAAGGCAGATAATAGTAAATGTTAGCATTTTAATCCAAAGCAGCACAGATCATCTTCACCAGCCTGGATCATGGGAGGAACAAGAGAAAAACAAGATCTTTCCTATGATGTACTTGGCAGCCCTTTCCTGTAATGCTGCTGGCAGGTCACCAGTATTTGTGTTCATGGCAATAAGGTATCAATTTAGTCCATGTACCTGTTTTTTCTGGACTCTCTTACACCACGGAAGGGATCCTCTCAGCTCTCTAGCAGGAGCAGAACTTGGAAGAGGTGCCTTTTTATTACAGCTCCCAGAATTCTCTAGCCAGTATTGCCTTTGGCAGTTCGGACCAGGGATTCTGGGAGTTTTTGTTTTAAAAAGTAGCCTTTTCCAACTACTGTATAAACAGGAGGATTAAGCAGAAATAAAAGCAACGGTTGCCCTCTCAGGACACCTCTGCATTGGATTTCTCCATGATTCTATAAGTGGCACTTTAATGCTAAAGTGGAAGCATGGGAAATGGCCCTGGCACAACTAAGTATGACGACATTGTGACAGAATATCAGGCATTTATCAGGCATTATACAAAGCTGTCTTCTCTATCACACCCTACACCTCAATGCATGTATGCAAAGCAGCGTTGGGCAAGACACAAGTAACATGTGGCAAACCACTGCCTGCTTTTGCAGCTGACACTGGCATTCCCAAGGAAATTTATGGTGCAACTATGTTTAAACAACTGCTTTTGTTTAAACAACTTTGCTTTTGAGCAAAAATATGGGGATTTTTTAAACCCGAAGGGCCCTCTGTATCTTAATAGTACATGCTGGCAAGTATGAAACCCTCCCTCTGGGGAAATTGGCTGCAAGCCCTGTTGAAGTTGCTCAGTCTTGGTGCAGATGTTCAGATAAGTTTGAAGCCTTAAGGATATGAACTATGGATGTCACATGTGCATTATATACATATATGCATATACTATCTTATGAAAGTTTCTGGAGATATTCCTCAAGTACAAAAACCACTCCTTCAAATAGTAGTCTTATTTTCCCAGTGCCAACACATTCTAAGTTCTTCCCCCTACAAGCTCCTAGAACTCATCCAAGAGGTAACTGTGCTATGTCAGCCTCTCACAACTTCCACTGAAGGGCCCCTCCTAGCTCCTGGAACAAGAGCACTCATTTCTAGTGCATCAAAAGTGGAGAAGGTGAAATAATCCCAGACAGGGCATTGCCCAAGATGCACAAGACTTGCCAATCAACTTAATTTTAGATTGCTTGAAATCATCATGCAAAATCCTAGCATGCTCACCTTATCCTGGGAAACTATCCTCCTTAAAACATCTAGAAGAATATTAGAAATCACATTTGTGCTTTTAGATATGACCCTGTATTTCCTGGGGAAAACAGTAAAATGCTTGGGAAGAATAGGCAGAATCAAAATGTAACTGCAGGAAGCACTCAACATAATGACATTAGGTCCCCATGAGTCCTGACACCAATACACCATTCCTCCATTTCTTTTTCACATTACTCTCCTTGGTTAGAGAGATGGGCAGACAGGAACCAATTATCAATATGCTTGAGTTAGATTAATAGAAGAGTGGAGAAGCAGCCCAAACACCCATCCAGAGTAAACACATCCTCTGCAACATTCAGAAACACAACACATGCAGACAACACTGACGGCTACATCTCTGGAGGTACAGCAAACCAAACAACTGTTCTTCAAGCAGCCCTCTACTGCTAAGAACCAACAGGCACAGCCCAAGTGCATAAAACAGATGTATCCCTGTGGCTCGATTCTACTTGCAGTGTTACAATAGTGGATTCTTCTAACAAAAATATATTCTGTTCTCCATCTTTCTTTTTTAGAGGAGGACATTATTTTCAAAAGAGATAAAGGCCTTCATAGGAAATGCTTATGTTTCCCTATATTTGGAAATACAATGTCAATGTGGTAACAGCCAGAATCCTACTGCTGTTGTGTAAGGATTGTGTAGCTTGTTGCAGCTATTTGCAACTAACTGCCAAAATGCCAAGGTGCATCTCACTTGCATGCTGGGTCACATACTCAAGTGCATAACTGAGATGTACCCCAGTACCTTTTCAGCTGCAACTAGCCATAGCATGTTACACAAACAGTACATAAATACCAACAGGATTTTGGCCAACACAACTCAGTCTGGGTTTAAGAGAGAAGATCCAAAATTCTGACACTGCCACCCTCTGTTAATGAGGAAACACACCTGAGCTTCTCTTTGCAACCAGTGGAAAGTACACATCTATCACCAGTCTGGATTACGTTTTGCTGCAGTTTGAGACAATGATGCAAGTTCAGAGTGCACTGTTGGGTTGTATTTGCTTTAATAAGAAAAAATAACTTCACTAATTTGGGGCAGAAAGAACAGTACTTTGTGGAAGTCATGTATATACAGCTTAACAAAGGTGTAAGCCAGAATCTGGTAGAAGTGAGGCCATCAAAAAATAAAGCAGAAAATTATTCTCAAGTCCACTTGAAGGTGAGGAGCCTCAGAAAGGTTTCTCCTTAAATAGCCACATATAGTGGAGTCATTTGTATTTTATTGGTTAACCAAAAGTAGAATGGCTTCAGATCTGAATTCTCTTTCCTGGCCCTTCTCTATCCTTATAAGCAATGACTCAGCAACAACTATGGCAGGGCACTACTCACATTAAAAAAAAAGTGAAGTTTCCCAACTCTGCAACAACAAAATGCATAATTTTTTCATGGCATTCAAAATGACTTACTTTTAATATAAACCTGTCCAGCCACCATTTTTACAAGAACGACTACATATTTTCCTGAAGGACTAAGGACCCAAACTGCCAGGTAACTTCAAAGAATTTACTTCTCAGCATTCCTAATGCAAACCAGCTTGGGTTGTTCATTGGAGGATATAAACACTAATGAATCAGACAAGTCAAAGAAGCGTTTGCAACAGTGATATCAGTTTAATGATCTTATCTAGAGTAAAGCTTGGCAAGTTTACTTTTTTGGACTACAACTCCCAGATACCCCAAAGCCGGCATGAACAATGGTGATGCTAGCCAGGAGTTTCTGAAAACAATAATCCAAAACTTTTCCCAGTCTCTGGTCCTGCACCTCCTAAATCCAGAACCACAATGACTGTCTTCAGATTTCAGTCCCCTGATTAAAGAGGAACAAAAGCAACATTAGAAATTCCTTTCTGCCTTTCCAGAAGAACCTGACAAATTACAACTAGGTCAGGGTGACGGGAGGAGGGCTGCATTTATTTTCATACAAACTCTACACCTTGATTGATGCACTCTGCTAAGTTCTCTGCACAGCCTTGTTCAAATGCATCTGCTCCCTAAAATATTAAGTGAACAAAGGAGCATTTTCACCAGAGTAGCAATCCTACCCAAAGTCCATTTAGCTCTAGCAGCTAAGCTATGGATCTCAATATATTTGGGTACAGATAGAAAGAGATCCAGACAGAAGGAGCTGTGGCCAGTGTAGTTCTTTTATTTGCACAAAGCAGGAGCCATGGAAAAAAAAATACGAACAACTTCAAGTATATCTGGAGATGGCACATTTTGGAAAGAAAGGGCTCTGGAAGACACTACAGCCTCAATATTTGGAAGCTATGTAGAACTGTCCTCAAAAACTTGGCAATTCTTTATCATGTCACTTAGAACCTGTTCTAGCTGCAAAGGGCCTTTAATGCAAGTAGGAGCTGAGGGAGGGACATGGTCTGAACTCAGCCCTAGCTGAGAAGATACTGAGAGACAAGCTGTCTAAAGAGCCAGGATAATAGCCAAAATATGTTCTTAATGTGGTCAGGATCGCTGCCATATTTGTCTTTCCGGAGGCCCATCCACCCACCCAGGAGCTCTGCCTTTATCCAGTCAGGAATGATTAGGAGCTCATAACATGTAAGAGGGAATCCACTCAGAAGCACTTTTCCATTTCCTGCTTGCTATCTTGAAAAAAGAAAAACACATTTACAAACAAATAAGGTAAATCTTAGAAAATACATAAATCCCAAACATGTCACATTGCAAACAAGAATTGCCAGCCAGGCCTCTTTCATTGCTCCAACAGCTCCACAACCCACCACAAACATCCCACCCCACTTCCAGGTGGAATTGGCCCATAAGCCCCAAAAGCAGTTTACGAGCCAATCATTTGGCCTGACCACGTTTCATGCTTTGTGTGCGGAGCTAAGTGAGTGAGCACCACTTCCACAGCTTGGAACTTCTGATTCTTTGGCGGGATGGGGCAAATTTTGTATGTGACCTCATCTCCTTCTACTGGGACATATTCTCCTTCAATGCTGAGGGGGGAAAAGGAGGGGAGAGAACATTTCAGAACTCAGTTGAGGCAAAGAATCACTTACCACAATCATGAACAAAAGCTGAATGCCTTACAGCAAGGCAAAACAATGAGAAATGTATAAATTTTCAGCAAGCAGAAACACACAAATAGATTAGGTAATTATTACTGATGGATAAAATGCAAATACACCACAGGAATCCTGTTTTATGCACTCTCTGAGGTGCACAGCTTTATGAATTCAATTTTCCTGGCTCCAGTCAAAGAAATCAAGCAAGCTGTTTACAGCACAATTGCATTCTAGTGTATCTTTTCCGCTCCCCAAAATTTGCCCAAGGATAATTCGAAGGCCTCTGGAGTCCAGCAGTTCTCATTTTTTCTTGTAGACAGTCATCAAAGCATGCCAGTTAGCTTAATGCTTTCTCCCTTCCTACTTCAACATTACAACACACCACCTGGCAAGGTAGCTCAGGTTGAGAGGGAGTGACTAGTCAAGGTTACCTGGTGAGATTACTCTTTCATACGTACACATATAGAGAGACACTAACTCAGCTGAACATTCCAGGTGACATGGGTTTCCCTGAAGAAATTTAAATAAAGCTTTGTACTGCCAAGATACAAAAAGGGATTACTATACAATAATGTGGAGGTAAATGGGTAGAGATGTGTATTCATGGTGCAGCAGCATCTAGGCTGTATCACATTACACAAGAGGTGATGTTTTAAGCAATTTTTAGCCAATGTATTCTCGAAGGCTTTCACAGCCAGGATCTGATGGTTGTTGTGGGTTTTTCGGGCTCTTTGGCCATGTTCTGAAGGTTGTTCTTCCTGACGTTTCGCCAGTCTCTGTGGCCGTCATCTTCAGAGGACTGGAGTAGGAACTCTGTCCATGCTCTGTACTACTGAGATACATGCTCTGTCCAAAGCATGGACAGAGTTCCTACTCCAGTCCTCTGAAGATGCCGGCCACAGAGATTGGCGAAACATCAGAAAGAACAACCTTCAGAACACAGCCAAAGAGCCCGAAAAACCCACAACAACCAATTTTTTAGTCAGTTAATGCACAAAAATATGACTTTTTCAGCATCCAAGTTACAGTGTAAAATTGTAACACCTTGATTGATGAACAATGTGCTGTGTGTTATAATGGTGAAGAGAGAGAAAATAGCACTGAACACTCAAACCAGGTGTATCTACATGATGACCTAAGGCGTTAAAGGCTCTGCACCCCGGCCCTCATGAAACTCACTCAGACACATGCACAAATATGTCCTCTGTGCCATTTTCAGGGGTGATGAAACCATGGCCTTGGGAACGTGAGAACTGCTTACATACACCCTTGTAGACAGGACCAGCAGAGGCACGTGCTGTCCTAAAGAAAAAGAAGGAAAAGAATAAGAGATGTGGCAGAAAAAATGAGAATGAAACTAAACAACACTGATATTTCTAACCCAAAAGATGCTGTGCTCCTTTTCTAGCCACCACCATCTGCTCTCCTTTCCTCACAATCAGGTTTATGGCCAAAAATTAACTTTAGCAAATCCTCAGAATTTTACTTTTGAAACTTGACAGATCATGCCTGAAATCCTGTTTGTGCAAGTTCTACAGTGTGAGGCTGATGGTGTCATTAACCAGGGATATTTTTTAAAAAGAAATGTAACATTTCCCCTCTGAATTGGAGGGCCTACAACAGGCCTCAAGTACAGTAATTTTCCCCCCTCTGAATTGGAGGGCCTACAACAGGCCTCAAGTACAGTAATTTTCCCCCCTCTGAATTGGAGGGCCTACAACAGGCCTCAAGTACAGTACAGCATTTTTTTTCCTCATTGGGAACATACAGGGGCAGCCTCAAGTACAGTACAGTATTTTTTTTTCCTCATTGGGAACATACAGGGGCTGAGGGTTGAGAGAGGGAGGTCTGCAGTTACTGAAAACCATTGCCTCTGGTACAGTCACCCCAGCAGTGCTTTTGAGTCATTAACCACCTCCTTCTCCTATGCTGTGGCCCTCACAAGTTCCCAGTGATAAAGGAGATCACTTGAGAGCCCACAAGATCTTCATGACAAGTGTGGGAAAGGTGCCGTTTTCTTCAGCCCTCTTGGCTCTCCTATTAGGCAAGAACCAACACAACACCAGGGCAGGTTTACTATA